AACCAACAAAGAATTATAAACTCACTATATTCAGTCAACTAGAAATGAAGACATAATCATAAATAAGGCTCAATAAAAAATTGAAAACCTCCAAGTTAGGAGAGGGAAAGAGATTGCAACTATCATCTCTGAGCCATCCACAACAAGAAACCCAAGTCTATTACTGAACTTTCCATGCCACAATTGGCACACCTGTCGAACAAACTCGTAAACTCACCTCAAAAGAGAACTGGAAAACTAAAAAATGTTGTTTTTTTAAAACAGGAAATGTGATTCTGGCAAACAAGACCAATGAGCTAAAAATAACTGTGTAAAGTAACAGTAAGAGTACAGATATGTAAATACATCTTGACATTCTTCTGTGCCTTCAGGTCATTTTCAGCTTAAAGTAACGGAAAGGAAAAACTACTCGATAAGATTTGTTCAGAAGAGGGTTGCAACTGCCTTTCTCTGAGGATGAGAGACTGTGGTCCCTTCCAGAAACGCCCTATATCTCAGAATCTGATCTCAGGTTTCTGCTTTAAACTGGATTATACGAGTCCGCACGGCCAGATAATCTGGGACAAACAGAAAATCTGGGATCAGATCCTGGGATATAGGGCCTGTCTGGAAGGGCCCTGTGACTTGCCTAAAGTCACTCAGTGGGTTTTCTTGCCTGAGTAGGAATTAGAATCTTCTCTCACTGTCTTAATGCAGCACTGAGTCCATTATACCACCCTATAAAACAATGATATTCTCGTTCATTATTTTTATTGTATTATCAATGTTTATTTGTATGCTTTATGTCTAAATGTTATTTTATGTTTATGTTTTAATGTGGTTAGGTTAATGTATGGTTATATGTTATTGTTTTGCTACTATCTTTTGGTTTTCATATGCATGTACAGCATTGAATTTTGCCTTTATAATGTTGGAAACTGCTTTGAGTTCCCTTAGAGGGAGAAAAGTGGTATATAAATGTAGTAAATGAATAAATAATAAATACATAACGCTTAATTTAAAACCTGTTTTTGGCTATGACAGCTTTGTTACATCTGAAAATCAGCAATCGTAATTAGAAATCACAGTAGTCCTCATCTAAATGGCATCTGGTGTGTGGCTACGGGACATCCGTAGGGATACTAAGGTGCTTGATTATAAAGCTATTGTCCTCCCAACTCTGTGAAATGTGGACTATCTACAGATGTCACATGCAACTCCTGGAACGATTCCATCAGCGCTGCCCCCGAAAAATCCTGCAAATCTCTTGGGAAGACAAGCGGACAAATGTAAGCATGTTGGAAGAAGCAAAGACCACCAGCATTGAAGCGATGGTCATAGAATCATAGAATCATAGAATCAGAGTTGGAAGAGACTTCATGGGCCATCCAGTCCAACCCCCTGCCAAGAAGCAGGAATATTGCATTCAAATCACCCCTGACTGATGGCCATCCAGCCTCTGTTTAAAAGCTTCCAAAGAAGGAGTCTCCACCACACTCTGGGGCAGAGAGTTCCACTGTTGAACAGCTCTCACATCATTAACTCCGCAATTAACTCAGCTGGACCAGCCACGTTGTCCGGATGCCCGACCACCGTCTCCCCGATCACCGTCTCCCAAAGCAGTTGCTCTATTCCAAACTCAAGAATGGAAAATGGATTGTTGGTGGGCAGGAAAAGAGATTTAAAAATGGGCTCAAAGCCAACCTTAAAAACTCTGGCATAGACACTGAGAAATGGGAAGCCCTGGCCCTTGAGTGCTCCAGCTGGAAGTCAGCTGTGACCAGCAGTGCTGTAGAATTTGAATAGGCACAAATGGAGGGTGAAAGAGAGAAACGTGCCAAGAGGAAGGCACACCAAGCCAACCCTGACTAGGACCGCCTTCCACCTGGAAAGAAATGTGGGAGAACATGCAGATCAAGAAGAGGGCTCCACAGTCACTTACGGACCCACCACCAGTACACCAATCTTGGAAGACAATTCCTGACAACGAGGAATTATCTAAGTAAGTAAGTGACTTGCATTCCCCAAATTCTACTGAAAAGGACACTGGCAGAGAATTTTGTATAAAAATAACATACTCTCTGTTTCAGACAGTTTAAGAAAGTGGGTTGCTTATTTAATGCACTGTTGCTCAATGAAAATGGTAAAAGAAGTTGCCAAGAGAACCCAGAGTAACTGAACAAGTTGTAAACTATGCTATCAGATTTGGCAACCATCAGCCCAAGAAAGTATTAAACCAAAGACTTAAAGGATGGTTTAATACCAGGCATGAAGAACTGATGAGTCTGCATTGGAAACACACTTTCATTCTTCTCTTTGGAAAGCTCCATGAGGCAGAAAACACCATTTGTGTGGAGTCTGGGAGGGGTGGGGAGCTGTCAGGAAAAAGGCCTCCCCAGATTTAAAGGCAATGTAGTTAAATGCTTTACACTGTCAAAATGGCTATCCAGGAAAGAGGGAAGTCACAAGCAGTAGCCATGGCCACCTTTGCAGCAAGGCCAGGCCGGGTGTACACAAACGCTACTGTTCTGGTTTCGTGTTAAACAGACACAACCGTTCTGGAGAGAGGCTTTAGTTTCATTGATCCGGAGGCGCAACTGGGCCATTTGCCAAGGCTGCTTATAAAGAGAAAGAAGCGCCTATAAAAGGAGAAAGAAATCCAGCTCCGCCGAGGTACCCCCTATAGTCACACAGCATTTAAACTCACATGACATTTGCTTAACTTATCTCTGGAAATCTGTGAACATTTTATATTGGTTATGTTACTACTAACAGCAGAAGAAAGACAATTTTATGGGTTGGTGTGTTTATTTTTAGGAGTATGCAAGTGACCTCTTTGAAATGGGTCTGTTTCAAACCAAGCCCAAAAGCTCACAAATTCTGTAACAGGAAGGGATGTGGTTAAAGTCATGCTTAAGTGAGCTTTTTCAAAAAAAGAGACTTTATGCAGATATTAAAGTGTAACTGTTTCCCCCTTCTCTCTATAACCATTTTAGGTTAACTTCTAATGTAGGAATCTCTTGACTTGGAAAGGCTTAAAAACAAAGCACTAGATTTGGCAAATGTAAGCTAATTTTTATCTATATACAGAATGCACAACTTTTGGCAGGCAACATATGCCAAAGATTCATATTTTAATGGCATGTTATTTATTGTGCACACTCAACTGTTATTTTTTAAAAATATGTCTATTCTTCTTTGGAAAGCTAGCTCGTCTCATTTCCGACACTCAACCATATTCTGTAGCTTTTGAAGATATGATGCTGCATTATGTCAGCAACTGGTTCATAAAACAGTCTTCTCCAACCAGAATCCTTCAAGAGATTTTTACCTCTAACTCCAGTCATCAAAACTGAATGCCTTACCCCACAGTTTTATCCTTCTTGGGCCCCCCTCACTTACACATTTTCTATTCCTACCTCTCCCAGGATTTTATCATTTTATCTCGTCCATTTGGACCGCCCATCCTGTTCGATTTTATATTGTGTTAATTTGCTTTATTGTTTTGTTTTGCTACTGTAATTATTTCCTTTTGTAAATTTTGTTTTTTGCATTCAGTATGTTATTGTGTTGTATTGTATTGTGTTGTATTGTATTTTTTGGGCTTGGCCTCATGTTACCCGCCCCGAGTCCCCATTAGGGGTGGTGGAGTATAAGTAAAGATTAAAGTATAAGTAAAGATTATTGGGTTGTTGTAGGTTTTTCAGGCTATATGGCCATGGTCTAGAGGCATTATCTCCTGATGTTTCGCCTGCATCTATGGCAAGCATCCTCAGAAGTACCACTACCTCTGAGGATGCTTGCCATAGATGCAGGTGAAACGTCACGAGAGAATGCCTCTAGATCATGGCCATATAGCCCGAAAAACCTACAGCAACCCAGTGATTCCAGCCATGAAAGCCTCCGACAATGCATTATTATTATCAATAATAAAAATAATATCTTTATTATTATTGAAGGGAAACAACAGGAAAAGCTGACATGATATGAGGATTTAAAGATCAAACTGCAAAGACTCTGGCACAATTTTACTCCATCAGACAGGTTCAAAATACCAGTGGCCAAAATTACAGAGTTGACATGGTCAGCTATGAATGGGCTGGGCAAGGGCGAGTGCAACATTGTATCATAGGGCCAGGGAAGTGGATAAAGTGCAGAGCACGGTCCTAGCTGATGGCCAAAGGAAGGGCCTAGGAACTAATCATTCTCGTAAACCTGCTGACCAGCATGGACAATAGTCAAGGATGATGGGAGTTGCAGTCCAAAACATATATATGGATAGAGCAGTGGTTCCCAGCCTGTGGTCTGTGGACCACCAGTCCATAGACCACAAGTGTCCACAAGAACTAAAATAGGCTGTTAGGAATTATGAAAATTGAAGTCCAAAACACATGGAGGGCCAAACTTTGCCCATGCCTGATCTACACAATACATTTTATGCAGTTTGACACTACTTTAACTGCCATGACTCAATGCTATTGAATCCTGGGAATTGTAGTTTTACATGGCCTTGCGCTTTCCCTTCCAAAAAGGGCTAATGGCTTCTGTAAACTACAACTCCCATGTATTCCAAAGTATTGAGCCATAGCAGTTAAAGTGGTGTCAAACTGAATTAATTCTACAGTTTAGATGCACCCTTCGTTTCATTTAAAAGTTGTGAGGGAACCCGTGGTTCTCCAGATGCCTCTAAACAACAAATCCCTCATTAATGTTGGCTGAGGCTCATGCAGGTGCAACAACTGCCAAAGAGCCACAGGTTCCTCTCTTCAGAAACTATCATGAGACCCATAAGGGCAGAACAATGTAGGCTGTTCTACATTGTTTCTCAAATAAATTTCCACATATGTTTTAAAGCGTCATATAATAATGTATCAGTAAGTGTTAAAAGGCCAGAATGAATTGCCATGCATGTTAGAAACCAGGGTGTCCAATCAATGGCATTGATTTCCAATACACATTTTTGCATTCTAAGCAGCATAACAAAACACCCGCTCATTCCCCGCCTCATCCCTTTAACTCACATTTGCAACATTATCTTGTTCAAGAAGACACCGTCTACTAGATCCATATACATGCTGAGCTTGTCCTCGTTCTCATTCCCTAATGGCCCAAATGTTTTCACCTGCAAAAGAGAAAAGAATTGTTTTAGAAAATGAACAAAAATGGACAACCACATACACAAAAAAAATCCTTCACCCAAGAAACCTGCAGTTTTACTAATGAACTAGATCAGTCTTTCTCAATTTTTCTTATGTCACGACACCTTAATACAGTTCCTCATGTTGTGGTGACCCTCAACCATAACATTATTTTCATTGTACTACATAACTGTAATGTTGCTACTGTTATGAATTGTAATGTAAATATCTGATATGCAGGATGTATTTTCATTCACTGGACCAAATTTGGCACAGATACATGATACGCCCAGATGGGATGGGGGGATTGATTATGTCATTTGGGAGTTGTAATTGCTGGAATGTATAGTTCACCAACAATCAAAGAGCACTCTGAACTCCACCAAAGATGGAATTGAACCAAACTTGGCACACAGAACTCCCATGACCAACAGAAAATACTGGAAGGGTTTGGTGGGGACTGACCTTGAGTTTGGGAGTTGTAGTTCACCTACATCCAGAGAGCACTATGAAACAATAATGGATGTGGACCAAACTTGGCACAAAACCTTAATATGCCCAAATGTGAACACCGGTAGAGTTTGGAGAAAATAGACCTTGACATCTGGGAGTTGTAGTTGCTGGGATTTATAGTTCACCTACAATCAAAGAGTATTCTGAACCCCACCAATGACATAATTGGGCCAAACTTCCCACACAGAACCCTGATGACCAACCGAATAAATGAAAATACTGTGTTTTCTGATGGCCTTTGGCGACCCTTCTGACACCCCAGGGGATCCAACTCCCAGGTTGAGAAACATTTAACTATATGAAGAGCTAATTGATGATAATAATAATAATAATAATAATAATAATAATAATAATAAACAACTTTATATTCCGCTCTATCTCCCTGAAGGGACTCAGGGCAGATTGATTTTGAGAAATGAATGCCCATCATAATGTTTGATATAAATCTGCCTTGGAGCCAAATCAAGATCTTACTTAAAGTTGTTTCAATTTTCCATACAACCTTCATTATGCTGATCTGCTTTGAAAGATTAAAAAACAATATTGTGTTGAACACAAAGGCACTGCCAGATTACCAAAAGGTTTGCCTCCTCTTCATTTACACAGCAGCAAAACCTTGTTTCCCTCCCTTTATTTCCGGTAACTTACCAAAAGGTACAAAGATCAGATATGTATCTGCAGCAGGATGGAGATATGGGGCCCTCCCACACAGCCATATATCCCAGAATATCGAGGCAGAAAATCCCATATTATCTGAGTGTGGGCTCAGATAACCCAGTTCAAAGCAGATATTGTGGGATTTTCTGCCTTGGTATTCTGGGATATTAAGGCTGTGTGGAAGGGCCCATGATCTTACTTTTAAAAGCTTCTCCATCCAAGTCATATAAAAATGTGGGTGTATAGCTACCAAACAAAGACAAACTCCAAAGTCCATACTGTGACAATATCTTTTATGAGCCCAACCAAAAACAGCACCAAAATTCTGTAGGAACTTCCAAAGCACACATGTTTCTTAAGGCCATTCCACACAGCCATATAACCCAGAATATCAAGGCAGAAAATCCCACAATATTTGCTTTGAACTGGGTTATCTGAGTCCACACTGCCATATATTCCAGTTCAAAGGTGGGATTTTACTCAGTTGTGTGGATGGGGCCTTAATCAGGGAAAGATGGTGTAGCTCCTAGTACTTTTCTTTAACTATTGTGTGCATGTTTTTCCTCCCAAGGAACTCAAGTATTGAGGTGAGAATAGAGTTGGCAGGTGTCCCTTACTGTTAAGGACGTCTCTTATTTGAGGATCATCAGGCTGGCAGATGACCCTGATTATAAAGGATGCCCCATATTTTCAGGTTGGAAAGCTTCTCTTTTTATACAGACTGAATGAGTCCCTACTCTAAGAAATCCTTATTTTGAGAATAGTATGTATGCTATCAACTTTAGAGAGAAACATATGGATAGTTTTCGTACTTCATCAATTCTAAGACACCACTGATTGTAAGGAAAAAAAACCCTTAATTTATATAGGTAAAAGCAGCCTAAATTCCAAGGCACACCTCATTTATTCTATCACCATCATCATTCTACCTGGGAAGGCTAAGAGCTCAAATTCTGTTCCCACCCTAAATATCTCAGCATCACCTTAGATTGAACAATAGGAAACACTATGCGAACACTAAGCACAAAATAGCTGCACGCAATAACATCCTGCAAAAACTTACTAATAGTGCATGGGGTAAAAGGTAAAGGTAGGTAAAGGTTTTCCCCTGACATTAAGTCCAGTCGTGTCCGACTCTGGGGTGTGGTGCTCATCTCCATTTCTAAGCCAATGAGACGTCGTTATCTGTAGACATCTCCAAGGTCATGTGGCCTGCATGACTGCATGGAGCACAGTTACCTTCCCTCCGGAGCGGTACCTATTGATCTACTCACATTTGCATATTTTCGAACTGCTAGGTTGGCAGAAACTGGGGCTGACAGCGGAAGCTCACGCCGCTCCCCAGAATCGAACCTGTGACCACCGGGGGTTCCAGTGCATGGGGTGCAGACCCAAAATTAATAAGAACATCACCCCAGGCCTTGTCTTACTCAACTGCGGAGTATGCCTGCCCCATCTGGTATAAACCTCATGCGAAGCAGGTGAATATAGCACTGAGTGAGACATGTAGAATTATCACAGGATATCTCAAACCTACACCTGTTAACAGACTTTATAAGCTAGCTGGCATTGCCTCCTCCCAATGTGTGACAGGAAATTGCTGCCAATAGCTAGAGAAATAAGGTTGAACACAGTGAAAGCCATCCCCTACATGGCTATCAGCCTCCTCCCAGTAGACTCAAATCAAGGAAAAGCTTCATGAGAACCACCACTCCTCTTAACGTTCCCCAGCAACAGCAAGAGCAGCCCTCTGAGCAGCTAAACCAGGAAATCCCAATTGGAGGGTCTGCCTCCAGGGGCAAACCAAGAATGGGCAACTTGGAAGTCCCTGAACAAACTCAGAAGTGGTATTGGGAGATCAAAGGACAACCTGGCAAAATGGCATTACCTAGAAGAATCCTCCACCTTGTGCGACTGTGGAGCAGAGCAAACAACTCCGCATCTGTATGCTTGTCCACAATGCCCTGCCTCATGCACAGAAGAAGAACTGTTAAAGCTACAGACAATGCGGTTGTGGTTGCCAGGTTTTGGTCTAAAATTATTTAGCTGCTTGTGCTCCCTTTATTTTATCACTTTTATGCCTATTTATTTAATAATAATAATAATAATAATAATTTATTTCTACCCCCCCACCACCACCACCTCCCAAAAGGGACTCAGGATGGCTTACAAAACACTCGTAATGTAACAATATATATGGAGCACTAAATACACATACATCAATATCAAATTTACATCAACATTTATGCAATGCTTTTGATAAAAAATAAAAAATAAAAATTCTATTATTGTCATTATTACATGCTGCTTTTTCTCTTTCAAAGGGATGTATAGTAATTGAGTGCAATACCTTCCTTTGGCATTTAGGTAGAACATAAACTTGTCAGCAATTGCTTTCTCATTTTCAACCCAGCATGCCATGAGTTTCAATTGTCCCTCACAATTGTTTTGAAAATCTGGCCACACACTTTGCTGGTCTGCCGCCCATAGAATCTCAAAACAACATGCAAATGACCCAAGGCGATCCGTCATCACTTCGTCACCAACAACTCTATTCCACTTCATGGGTTTTGTAGAGCATCTTTGTCTGGGGAAGAAATGTGTGCGCTTCAAATACTTGCAGAACTTTTTGCCTTTTGGGTTGGTCTGACAACGATTGAACTTTGACACTTCTATATGGAAGAACTCTTTGTAAACAATACAGCAGGGAGAAAAGTTATATCTTAAGCCTCTCCCTCTGTTTCCTATTTTCAGAAAGTTTATGCTGGGGAGAAATGAGTATAAAAGGGAAATTATTACTCCGTGTAGGAACCCTATCTGGGTCAATCTATTAAGTACTCGGATACAGGAGAGGAAGGTGTTCTACATTCTTCTATGTCATTTCATTTCAATACTCTACATATACAGTCCAGCCCAGGATTATACAGACTCCAATCTAGGTTAAGCTCTCTCGGGCGCCACTGATTTCATCTTGGAGAGTCAAACATGTGGATAATATCAGGCGGGGAAGGTAAAAACAAATGCTATTGTCTTTGTTTAACACTGATTAAATTGTACGGAGGAAAAAGAAGCCCTAGCATCCTTCTTAAACAAGGATCTATTTGGGTTGCTGTGAGTTTTCTGGGCTATATGGACATTTTCCAGAAGCACTCTCTCCTGACATTTCACCCACATCTATGGCAGGCATCCTCACAGGTCTCACAACCCCTGAGGATACCTGCCATAGATGTGGATGAAACGTCAGGAGAGAATGCTGCTGGAACATGGCCATACAGCCCAGAAAACTCACAGCAACCCATTGATTCTGGCCATGAAAGCCTTCGACAACACAATGATCCATTTGTTGAATTCCCCATTATGAGCAAGGTTGATGCCATAAAGTTGATTTAAAAACAAGAATATTGGCAAGTTTAGAAACTTTCCAAGGTCAGAAAAGGTTAACAGCAAGCATAGCAAAACTATAATGACTGTTTTATCAGAAAACTCCAGCCACACAATAAAGAACTGTACCACTGCATGGTTTTATGAGGGCCCTTCCTCACAGCCCTATATCTTAGAATATCAAGGAAAAAAACCCCACATTATCTGAGTGTGGACTTTGATGCTGCCGAGTATGCATTCCTGGTGTGGAAAACATCTCACCATGCTAAAACAGTGGATGTGGCTCTTAATGAGACATGCCGCATTATCACAGGGTGTCTGCGCCCTACACCACTGGAGAAATTACACTGTCTAGTCGGTATCGCACCACCTGACATCCGCCAGGAAGTAGCAGCCAATAGTGAAAGGACCAAGGCAGTGACATCTCCAGCTCATCCCTTGTTTGGGTATCAGCCAGCACGTCAACGACTTAAATCAAGAAATAGTTTTCTAAGATCTACAGAGACACTCGCTGGAACACCCCAGCAAGCGAGAGTCCAAAAGTGGCAGGCTCAAACCCAGAACCTCAATCAATGGCTGATACCAGATGAGAGACTCCCTCCTGGCCGACCTGGAAGGCGCTGAACAGACTGCACTCTGGACCACAAGATGCAGAGCCAACCTTAAGAAATGGGGCTACAAAGTGGAATCCACAACATGTGAGTGCAGAGAAGAGCAAACCACTGACCACCTGCTGCAATGCAACCTGAGCCCTGCCGCATGCACAATGGAGGACCTTCTTGCGGCAACACCAGGGGCACTCCAAGTGGCCAGATACTGGTCAAAGGACGTTTAATCAACTACCAAGCTTGTAAACTTTGTATTTTATCTGTTTGTTTGTTTTTTAGTTAAAAATGTAATACAAATGTCTGGTTGCTGATGACACAATAAATAAATAAATAAATAAATCCAGTTCAAAGCAGATATTGTGAGATTTTCTGCCTTGATACTCTGGGATATAGGACTGTGTGGAAGGGCCCTGAGTTTCCTACATTTAGGGCCCTTCCACACAACTGTATAACTCAGAATATCAAGGTAGAAAACCCCACAATATCTGCTTTAAACTATAATATCTGAATCCACACTGTCATATACTCCAGTTCATTGCAGAAAATGTGGGATTATTTTCTGCTGTGTGGAAGGGGTCCCAGTCAACCCTTTGCATTCACAGATTCGATATCCATAGCTTGAACTGTTTTGTTGCCTGTTATAATATAAGCAGCATTGTTGTACTACGCCATTGTATATAATGAGACTTGACCACCCATTCATAAGGGTCCAGGAACTAAACCACAGTGGATACCAAGGGACCCAACTTTTGCATGAGAAGCAGTACAGAAACCATAAGAAGACCGGCACAAGTGGGACTATGGCAAGCACATGTCTCCGTCACCATGTGGCCACAAAGCACACAGGAAGCGAGGCAACCGGAGCCACAGCCATGCCTTGCAAGGGTTGGGTCTGAGTCCTGATCAAGCAATGCCTGCAGTGTAACCCTGGTAACCCAGCACACAACATAGTGGATTGCCTTTTTCCTCTCTTTCTGCAGCATTGCATACACAGCAAGTATCACGTCTGAAGATCCCAACGGCCTCTGTGCATATACAACCCTCCCAATTGTAAAGATAACCTTTCCCCTCTTTTATTTACTTTACTTTTATCCTGCCTTTGGTTCCACACGGGGACTCTTCTCCTTAAAGTAACTTCTGACACCTTATTGGGACCATTCTCTAGATCCGGCATGGGCAAACTTTGACCCTCCAGGAGTTTGGACTTCAACTCCCACAATTCCTAACAGCCAATGAGGGATTGTGGAAGTTGAAGTCTAAAACACCTGGAGGGCTGAAGTTTGCCCCTGCCTGATCTAGATTCTGTGCTCAACGGTCTATTAAAGATGCCCCACCATCCCTTCCAAACAGAAGGCAGCCTTTATTCCAGGACATGAATGCCTCTCGGAACGGATGTCTCCTTTCCACCGAACACAATGACTGCACTGTGGGTAAACAACACCATAGAGAAACGCATGGTTATTCTTCAGCTTCAAACTATTTCACTTCGCCCCAGTCTGCTTCTTTGCTCCAAGTGAAGGCTTCCAGTAAGATTTGCTTTAAGGGACTTCCATGCAACTTTGGGAGCATCTGAACTGCCTTGGCACAATACTATGGAATTTCCCCTCAAGTTGTGTAGTTTGGTGAGCAATTGACTCTCAGTGGCAGAGAAGGTGCAAAACTACTGGTGTGTCAAATTAATGCCTTTTGGGTTGTTGTGAGTTTTCCGGGCTCTATGGCTATGTTCCAGAAGCATTCTCTCCTGACGTTTTGCCTGCATATATGGCGGACATCCTCTGAGGATGCCTGCCATAGATGTGAGAGAAAGAAGATTCCATCTGAACACGAGGAAGAACTTCCTGACTGTGAGAGCTGTTCAGCAGTGGAACTCTCTGCCCCAGAGTGTGGTGGAGGCTCTTTCTTTGGAAGCTTTTAAACAGAGGCTGGATGGCCATCTGTCAGGGGTGATTTGAATGCAAAATTCCTGCTTCTTGGCAGGGGGTTGGACTGGATGGCCCATGAGGTCTCTTCCAACTCTTTGATTCTATGATCAGGAGAGGATGCTTCTGGAACATGGCCATACAGCCCGGAAAACTCACAACAACCCAGTGATTTCGGCCATGGAATCCTTCGACAATACATTTATGCAGTTTGACTTTAATTGCTCTGGAATTGTGGAAGTTGTAATTTGACGGCCTTCTCTACTGACGCCTCAGCAAACTACAACCTCCATGACTGAGCCATGGCATTTAAAGTGGTGTCGACAGCATTAATTTTACAATGTAGGCCAGGCATGCTCAGGTTGGACCCTTTCTCCAGGTGTTTTGGACTTCAACTCCCACCATTCCTAACAGCCTCAGGCTTAAATGGCTGAGGGGGGAAAGGAAAGGGCCTGAGGCTATTAGGAATGTTGGGGGTTGAAGTCCAAAACACCTGGAGGAAGGACCCGACTGGACCTATGCCTGGTGTGGATGCACCAAAGACTCCCAGGATTTCATAGCTGTTAAAACAGTATCGAACTGCATTCATTGTACTGTGTAGCTACACTCTTAGTTGACCACTTGTGTTAACAGTATCAGGAATACTCTCATAGGCTTCCAACTCCATCAACTCTTCCTTGGGATGAAATTATGGAGAAAACACAACACCAAGAAAGGTACAGCACACACTTTGGGTTCTTTGGCATCCTTCCCTCTGTCTCCACTGTGGAATGAATGCAGTTTGGCCCCAGTTTGGCCGCCATGCCTCATCGCTATGGATTGCTGGGAGTTTGGTGAGGCAGCAATACTCAAATGAGTCTCAAAGACCACCAAGAAAGGTACAGCACATGCTTTGGGTTCCTTGGCATCCTTCCCTCTGTCTCTACTGTGGAATGAATGCAGTTTGGCCCCAGTTTGGCCGCCATGCCTTATTACTATGGATTCCTAGGAGTTTGGTGAGGCAGCAACACTCAAAAGACCCTGCAAAACCACCTCTCTCCCTTGATTCCTGAGTGCAGCTGCAAGCGAGGCAAAGAGTGAGGAAGTATGTGGTCCCGGCAAAAGGGTGGGGGTGCAGGGCCAAGCCAACTCACCCAGGTCACCAACGGGCTGTGGAGGAAGAGCTCCATGAGTTCGGAAATGGTCACATCCATGTTGCTGCTGAGGGGAGAGGGAGGGAGAGAGAGGAGGCAGGCGCGCGGCTGGCTGGCTGGCTGGGCTGGCTTTTGTTGTGCCCTCCTGGGCTCAGTCGGGAAACAAAGGCGGGGGGGAGCAGCCCATTCTGGGGGGGTGGGGGGTGGGAGAGAGAGATGCCTGGCTGAGGAAGCAACTCCCCTCCCTCCTTCCTTCGGCGGGAGAAAGAGAGAAAGAAGGAGGCAGGGAAGGGGAGAGGAGGCGCCCGTCGCCAACAACAACCTGCTGGGCGCAAAAGTCGGTCAGGGCGCACAGGGCTCCAAACCCCGCTTTAATCCCTTCTTCTTCTTCTTCTCCTTCTTCTTCTCTGTCTTCTAGACACAGGACGAGGCTCTGTCTCAGGGTCCCAGGAGGAGGACTAAATAAAGGACCTTCGGAAAGTTTCCTTTCTCTCTGAGGAAACACAAAGCGCGCCTCGGAAGGAGCGCAGCAGCCCAGCCTTCCTCTCAAGCGGCGCTACCTGGAGCAGAGCGAGCGAGCGCGCCCTTCTCTCAATCCCCCCCCCGCTCTCTCTTTTTCCCTCCCCCAGGAAAGGTGGGAAGAGTGGAGGGGGGGACTTAAAAAGAAAGCAAAGAGAGCGAGGCTTTGATCGACGGCGCGGGTTGCAAATGGGAGCCTGGGGAATGGGGCGGGGCGGGCCAATAGGGAAGGTGCGAACTGGTCGAGAGAGAGAGAAAGAGAGAGGCTGGAGAGGAGAGGAAGGAGGAGGAGAAGCCAGAGAGTTACTCCGCGTGTGGGCTTATTTATCGTCTCAGAAGCCAACCGAGGGTACACTTGTAATGTATTTTAAAAAACCACAAAGTTTAGAAACTTGGCATTATATTAAATATCCTTTGACTAGTAGCTGGCCACTTGGAGTGCCTCTGGTGCTGCTATAAGAAGGCCCTCCATTGTGCATGTGGCAGGACTCAGGCTGCATTGTAATAGGTGGTTGGTGGGTTGCTCTTCTCCACACTTGCATGTCGTGGTGGACTCCACTTTGTGGCCCCCTTTCTTAAGGTTGGCTCTGCATCTCGTGGTGCCAGAGCGCAGTCTGTTCAGCATTCCAAGTTTTCTGTGTGCCCAGGAGAGAGTCTCTCATTTGGTTGTTTGTTTTTTTGTCGTGTCAGGAGCAACTTGAGAAACTGCAAGTCACTTCTGGTGTGAGAGAATTGGCCATCTGCAAGGACGTTGCCCAAGGGATGCCAGGGTGATTTGATGTTTTTATCATCCTTGTGGGAGGCTTCTCTCATGTCCCCACATGAGGAGCTGGAGCTGGTAGAAGGAGCTCATCCGCCTTTCCCCGGATTCGAACCTGCAACCTGTCGGTCTTCAGTCCTGCCGGCACAGGGTTTAACCCCCTGCGCCACCGGGGACTCTCATTTGGTACCAGCCATTGATTGAGGTACTGGGTTTGAGCCTGCCACTTTTGGACTCATAGAATCCTAGAGTTGGAAGAGACCTCATGGGCCATCCAGTCCAACCCGCTGCCAAGAAGCAAGAATATTGCATTCAAAGCACCCCTGAAAGATGGCCAGCCAGCCTCTATTTAAAAGCTTCCAAAGAAAGAGCCTTTACCACACTCCAGGGCAGAGAGTTCCACTACTGAATGACTCTCACAGTCATTAGTTCAGGTGGAATCTCCTTTTTTGTAGTTTGAAGCCATTGTTCCACATCCTAGTCTCCAGGGAAGCAGAAAACAAGCTTGCTTGCTCCCTCCTCCCTATGATATTCCCTGACATATTATACATGGCTGTTATGTCTCCTCTCAGCCTTCTCTTCTGAAGGCTAAACATGCCCAGCTCCTTAAGCCACTCCTCATAGGGCTTGTTCTCCAGACCCTTGATCATTTTAGTCGCCCTCCTCTGGACACATTCCAGCTTGTCAATATCTCTCTTCAGTTGTGGTGCCCAGAATTGGACACAATATTCCAGGTGTGGAATAGAGGGGTAGCATGACTTCCCTGGATCTAGACACTATGCTCCTATTGATGCAGGCCAAAATCCCATTGGCTTTTTTTTTTGCCGCCGCATCACATTGTTGGCTCATGTCTCGCTTGCTGATGTGTTCCTGTGAGTATCTCTGTAGATCTTAGAAAATTATTTCTTGATTTAAGTCGTTGGCATGCTAGTTGATACCCAAACAGGGGGTGGGCCGGAGGTGTCACTGCCTTGGTCCTTTCACTATTGAAAGGCATTATTGTCAGGTGGTGCAATACCAGCTAAACAGTGTAATATCTCCAGTGGTTTAGGGCACAGACACCCTGTGATAATGTGGCATGTCTCGTTAAGGGCCACATCCACTGTTTTAGCGTGGTGGGATATGTTCCACACTGGGCATGGGAGAAGCCGCCCTGCAGGATTGCAAGGCATCCTGGCGTCCCCTGGGCAACATCCTCATAAACGGCTGATTCTCTCACTCCAGAGGCAACTTGCAGCATGCAACCAAACAAGCACCATACGATGCTATCATAATATAAGTAATAAACAATTACATTAGAACAGTTCATTAAAACAGCAAATTAGTCATGTCAGTTAAAACCAAATCAAAGTCTGGGGATTAAATCAATGTCACAGTATCCAATTCTTTCCAATTGCTGCTATCCCCTAATTGGACGTTTGGTCCCAAAGTCAAGTCTTCAAGTTCTTCTAAAGGACAGGATAGAGGTAGCCAACTTGATGTCCCTGGGGAGAAAGTTCCACAGACGGGGGGACCACTGCCAAGAAGGCCCTGTCTCTCGTCCCGACCAACCGCATTTGCAACGGTAGTGGGATCAAGAGCAGGGCCTCTCCTGAAGATCTTGAACTTCATGATGGCTTGTAACAGGAGATATGTTCGGACAGGTAGTCTGGGCCAGAACCTTTTAGGGCTTTAAAGGTTAAAACCAATACTTTGAATTTTGTTCAGAAGCTGACTGGCAACCAGTGGAGCTGGTATAACAGAGGAGTTGTATGCTCCCTGTATGCTGCTGTATGAGCAACCTGGCTGCTGACCATTGGACTAGTTGAAGCTTCCGGGCAGTCTTCAAAGGTGGCCCCATGTAGAGTACGTTGTGGTAGTCTATTCAGGATGTAACAAGAGCATGGACCACCGTGGCCAAGTCAGACTTCCCAAGGTACAGGCGCAGCTGGCGCACAAGTTTTAGTTGTGCAAAAGCTCTCCTGGCCACCGCTGAGACCTGGGGTTCCAGGCTCAGCGTTGAAATTTAGGATCACTCCTAAGCTGTGAACGTGTCTTCAGGGGGAGTGCAACCCCATATAACACAGGCTGTAACCCTATGCCCTGTTCAGCCTTTCGAAACTTTAAGTCACTTTGGATGTGAGAGAAGTGGCCATCTGCAAGGACGTTGCCCATGGGACGCCCAAATATTTTGATGTTTTACCATCCTTATGGGAGTCTTCTCTCCACATGGAGAGTTGGAGCTGACAGAGGGAGCTTATCCATACTCTCCCTGGATTCAAACCTCTGACCTGTCAGTCTTCAGTCCTGCCAGCACAAGGGTTTAATCCATTGCACACCACTGGGGACTCCATTCCATCGTATTGAGCCATAGTAATTAAAGTAAATTCTGTAATGTAGACCAGGCATGGGTAAACTTGGGCCCTCCAGGTGTTTTGGATTTCAACTCCCACCATTCCTAACAGCCTCTTTCTAAGCCAAAGAGCTGGCGTTGTCCATAGACATCTCCAAGGTCATGTGGCCAGCATGACTGCCTGGCGTGCCATTACCTTCCCACCAAGGCGGTATCTATTGATCTACTCACATTTGTATGTTTTTGAACTCCTAGATTGGCAGAAGCTGAGGCTAACAGCAGAAGCTCACACCGCTCCCCGGATTCAAACCTGTGACCTTTTGATCAGCAAGTTCAGCAGCTCAGTGGTTTATTCCCCTGCGCCGCTGGGTGCTGTGTGGAACATGGCCATACACCCCGGAAAACTCACAACAACCCAGTGATTCCGGACATGAAAGCTTTTTACAATACATTCTATGTAGTTTTTGAAGGACACCGTATTTCATGTTTTTGTAATTTTTTGCGATGTCTGAAAGGCAGCATACTTTAAAAAAATTGGCAATTCTATGGGGTTGCTGTGAGTTTTCCAAGCTGTATGGCCATGTTCCACAACCATTCTCTTGTGATGTTTTGCCCACATCTATGGCAGGCATCCTCTGAAACGTCAGAAGAGAATGCTTCTGAAGCATGGCCATACAGCCTGGAAAACTCACAGCAACCCAGTGATTCCAGCCATGAAAGCCGACAACGAATTCTATGGGGTCTTCCTCACACCCTTCCTCTGGCCCTGCCTTCCCTCCTACCTAATCTTTACTCCTGGGTTGCTCCTCTGCCCCTTCCAGGCCCAAGAGGGAGGAATTGGACAAAGTCCTCCCCAAACAGTCTTAGGGAAGCCCAGGGAAATGGGGAGGGGGGGAGAGAGTTGGAGTGGGAGGAACGCTGCTGCGTCACTAACAAGCCGCTTCACTTGGCAGCAGGGTGAGACATTTCATGGCCCTGGTTTCCAGAGCAAAACAATTGCATCCAATGAAAGCCGGAGGGGAGGGGGACCAAGCCCCTCCGCCCCTTTTTCGAGCCACAGGATGTTTTTCTTCTGTGCTAATGGCTTCTACCAACATGACCGCCGCATCAGGCTGGCCCATTGTGTTCCCACATGAACTCATGCCAAAAACGTCCCAACGCACAAAGGGAATCGGGCAAGTGACCCTTTAGATGCATACAGGATTTAAACCCAGGGTCCTGGGAATAACTTTAGTCAGGGTGGCAGGACGCAGATTGCAACTCCTGCAGAAAGGGCAGCAAAGGACGGCTAATGCTCTTCTGTTTATGTTTTTGTAGCTAATTTCTCCAATTACCCAAGATGGTCAAATAGGGTTTTTTTAACGCTACAATTTCTGTCGTGGTGACTGACATTTATATCATTTTTTAAAAAACAGGATTGTTAAAATCAAGTAGAAATTACACTTGCATGTGATGGATGTAGACTCCGGGCAGCAAAAGCTTAGGTCGTGATAGATTTGTTCTGCTTGAAAGGGACTGCCAGGCTCTTGGTTTTCGCTTCAGAGGACTAACACACTGCAGACTCAAATGGTCAGTCATGTCAGCCTCACTTTGATTAAGGGCCCTTCCAGACAGAATCTGATCCCAGGTTTTCTGTTTATCCCAGATTATCTGGCAGTGCAGACTCATATAATCCAGTTTAAAACAAAAAAATGGGATCGGATCCTGGGATATAGAGCCTGTCTTGAAGGTCCCCCAGTACCAAGGCAGCAGTACTTTGAAGTTCATGGAGGAAGAAGTTAAAAATTCACGTTAGCAGTGGTTCTCAACCTGGAGTCTCCAGATATTTTGGGCCTACAACTCCCAGAAATCCCAGCCAGTTTAGCAGCTGTTAGGATTTCTGGGAGTTGTAGGCCAAAAACACCTGGGGACTCCAGGTTGAGAAACTCTGCGTTAAGGGAATCATAGAAACAAGTAGAGCTTCTTCAATTATTAATAGATAATTTCCAGTGCT